GCCTACCAGCTAAACACCAGGGGAGGCTTTCCTGAAAAGCTGAGCGATGAAAGCCCTGATACAGACTTCCCTACATCATGGGACGAGACACAGCAGCGTGTGGAGAGCTGTGGAACGCACTCCTACATCGAGGAGACCGGTTGTCTGCAGAACACACGTTCAGCAGCTTCATTTTTCAACAAGCTTGATCGACTGAGTCTGCACTCGGGCCCGGCAAGGACACGGGTCAACGCGCGTATCCATCCACCAGCTCCTAGTTTGTGTTTGCACTCCAGCGAAACTCAGGAAAAGCCTGCTCTTCCCCTTTCATGCACTCGTGTCAGTCAAGCTCTTGACGTCATGTCGGAGCTCCAGACAAAGAAAACTGCGGTGGGACTGATGGAGTGCAGCTCCCAGTTTGAACAGGCTTGGAAAGCTGCAGATCCAGCTCAGAACTGTGGGAAAATAAACCCCTATGCACTTACTGACAGTAAGTTAGAAAACATATTGGAACAAGCGTCACCTCACACAAATCAGACCTCATTTCTAAAAGCAGGGCCCGCAAACAATGACCATAACCATTTAAGTTCATCCCCTGCCATTTTGCATCTTCCTCTCCATTGCCAAACTCAGATCCGTGGCAGAGCATCATGGGATACCAATGGCTGTAACCAGGGATCTGTTTTTATCAGCAACTCTGCGGACATAGCTACAGACCCATTTCATGACAACAGCAGTCCCACCTCAGACGAAAGAAACGGTATCGTAGTGATCAGAAGCACGGACAGATCGGTGTTTTCTGAACACTCCTCAGAAACTCCATGGTCCTGTTCTACATCACTCCAACACAGCACGGAAGAAACACGGGGTATTTCATCAGGACGGCCTCTGCCGCTGTCAGGGCTGAACTTCAAACAGGAGACAAGTCTCTGTGAGGTAGAAAGTATGGAAGACGCCTGTGAGCTGCTGAGTCATACAGAGAAGCTGACTTCTGCTAAAGAGAGATCATTAGTTGGCTGGTTTAATCCTCCTGGTAATCCACCAATGAGAACAGAAGACAAAGACGCTTCCTTCAAACCAGTCAAATCAGAGGGTGATGATCAGATTATTGAAGTGGACGGCTGGTGTCATCTACCTCGAATCCCGCAGAAGGCGATGCAGCCTAAAGTTCAGGCCATGAAGACCTGCTGGGGCCTTCCAGAGGCAGAAGTTTGTGTTTGGGGGGCACAGATTCTCCTGGCCCTGGAAAGTCTGCATCAGCAAGGAATCCTCTGCCGGGATCTGAATCCAAGAAATGTTCTGCTCACCAACAATGGTACGAAATAACTTTAAATGATTCTATAAGGAAAAGTGTTCTATACTCCTTTTCCTTAAAGGCTTTGTTTCTGTTTCCAGGAAAGGTCTTCTTGACATTTTTTGGCCAATGGAGTGAGGTTCAGTCAGAGATTAGCTCCAAAGCCATGGAACAGATGTACTGTGCACCAGGTAAAATGAATGTCAACCAGATTCTTGGTGCCACATGCCCCCTAGTGGCAAAATGTAGTCTGTAGCTTCTTTACTCTGATACATGAAATAAGTCACTCAGTTATTTCCACCGAAACCTTTTTAAAAATATTCTCAATCCTAGGTATTTTACTTAAATAAAAATTCTGGTTCAGCCATGCTGACCATACAATCTACATAGAATCGTTTCATACACCTTCACTACCAAAATAAGAATTTGACGTTAATATCATTTTTGTGATACAACCATCCATTAATATGTACAGGTTTCTAGTGAACTGTTTTTCTTTTGGACAGAAATTGGTGGTGTTTCCAGGGCCACAGAGGCCTGTGATTGGTGGAGTCTTGGAGCCCTGCTCTTTGAACTTCTAACAGGAATGGTAAGAGGGGAAACGTATCACGTGTGTTGTCCTGTGAAACCATTCGTTCCCTGGAGTTGTCTCACATTATTTCTGATGCTGAATTGTTTTAAAACTCACTCTCCATCTCCAGCCACTGTGGCAGCTCCACCCAGCAGGCATCCACTCTCACACCCAGCTGCTCATCCCTGACCACCTGAGCACCGCAGCTGCATCTCTGCTCACTGAGGTTAGCTTCAACCACTGCAGGAGTTTGTAGTTATTTCTGTTTGATAACTCACATATTTTCTCTCTCTCTCTCACACACACACACACACACACATCTGGAATACTTGGAAACATCACTTAGTTTGTATTCTAATAAAAAGTCAGTATTTTGTTTTCTGACATGACGCTTTCACAAGTCACTGTTTAAATTAGAGACTTGATGAAAAGCAGTAGCTTCCAAACTTTTTGCAACACATGCCAACTATGAAAATATTTCACTTTTGGAATATCACCTGTATGACCAACATTAGAACACAGCTACACACCTACTCGGTTAGCTAACACCAGTTCACGATGAATGTATTCCTGTTAAGTTTAATATAACCTCAACAAGCCAAATATATCGTACATGATGTGAAACTGCACACACAAGCATCAAGTAATCACTCGCCCAGCTTAATTCGACATGACAATCAAATTCCCCGCATAACATTTGAAGGAGCCCAAGGACCACCAATGGCACACTTACCACAGCTAGAGAACTAATGTTCTTAAGGATAAATATACGTTTTGACAGTAATTTAGAAGTTAAAATCTACTTAGATTTATCTACTTTGAGTAACGTTGGTATTTGTGCTAAGGCTAAATCAAAAGCTAGGGTTTTTCGCGGGCTTTTCCAAGAAATATGTTTTATGTTATTTTCAATTTTTAAGCTTATTATATTTATATTTTATTAAATTTTTTTTTTTAAACGTGTTCAATTGTTTAGGTATGTTACATAAGACATGTAAGACAATGCTGTGTATAAAGAACTTGGAGAACGCTTACTTTTGGCTCCTTCCTTCCTTTATCCCCGTTCGGTTTGGTCTCATTTGACTTCTTTGTCCTCCAGTTGCTTCAGTTCGATGCTGGCTATCGTCTGGGCTCTGGTGGTGGAGGCGTGAGCGACATTAAGTGCCATCCCTTCTTCAGCAGCATCTCCTGGAAAGCTCTGAGCTGCTAGCAACGGACTGTCGATTCACCTTTAACCTGAAAAGGTCCCACAGGAACATTCATCTCCTGCGCATCAGCGCCCTCAAATGGCCAAAGCGGATATCGCCATATTCCTCCTTCTATTCTGAATTGAGTGATGATCGAAAAATATCATCATACGAATGAAAATAAATACAGGAACATTAACAGAAACATTTTCCCGTCTTACAAATATTACAGTTTTTTAAATGTTTTTTTCCGAAGTCCTAAAAAACGATTTTCAGTCAGTTTTATAATTCTTCATCCTTTAAAATTTTAATCACACTATGCATGATAACAGAAAAGTCCTACATTTTAATTTTGACAATTACAAAAGTTTGGAGTGTATGCCCACAATTATTGTAATTAAACAAGTACATGAGAGAAGTGATTACTTTATTTATTTATTTATTTTTTTGTACTGTACCTGACATTTTATTTCAGTTTGTCTTCCAAACAGAAGGTCAAAGGTTCAATTTCAGACTCCATTAGTCCAGACACTTTATTTTGCTCCTAATAGACGTGCAGCATTAGTGAACAGACATTAATGCCCGAGTTGTATTGAGTGCTAAGGGTTGTGTCGTGAGGCCGACCCTAAGCCTATTTAAACTCTGAGGTGATTCAATGAAAACTTTTTTCCCCACAGTCGGTGTAAATTACAACATGTTTTGACGTATATTAGAGCACGGATAAGGGGAAATTATTGAATAAATTGCTGTTAACATGTTACTTTGACCTAATTAAACCCATTTTTTAAAAATTACCATGACAACCTTTAATAAAAAAGATCAAAGGAAAAGTTAGAGTTGAGAATTGCAGTTTTTATTGATTAAAACTTTTCTTAAATATTCTTTCTTACACAGCATTTAGACATTTTTTTCCCGCTTATGACAGAAATTCTGATGACAATTTCATTACTTTAGACACAAGTGTTTCTTGGTTTGCAGCCCAATACGTGCTCATTGTTCTTCTCTCAACCAAAAATAATGAAATGATACCAAGCAGCTTGGACTATAATTGCCATTGTAGTTGTATGTAGAAAACGACACATGGCAAACATCAGTTATACATATCATAGGTGTGTATTTTTTGATCTAGACACCAACACCACCACCACAGAAACCCCCAGACCCAGAAACTGCTCCTCAACAGCACTGATACTCTAACTCACTGCCAGTCTGACCAAATGTCCGTTTTTAAAACCCAAACTGTTCTCCACAAAATCCCTTTTTTTTCTCTAGTGTGCAGTACAAAAAAACATCATCTGCAGTTACGGTAGTGTTCACTGGGTGAATGAAGACACTGCTGTACGACGGCGGGTCTGGTCGGGTCTGGAGTTGAGGAGGGTTTACATGTCCAGCAGTAAGACCCTGGGGTCTTCAATCACTGACTTGATCTTCCGCAGGAAAGTGACGGCCTCTCTCCCATCAATCAGACGATGGTCGTACGTCAGAGCGACGTACATCATGGGGCGGACCTCCACCTGAACAAGAGGGGAAAAAAAAACACATTAGTGTTGCTCCTGGGGTGAATAAAGATGATGAGGATGAAAAAGATGGTGAAGATGAAGAGGAAGGAGCAGATGATGATGATGGAAAAAGTGAAAAAGATTTTTAACAATTTTATTCTCATTGCACATATACAGACAATGTTGTTGTCTGAAAATGGAATCGGTGCTTGTTCAAAACACCACAGCTGACCAAGATGAGATTTAAATCTAGGTCACGTGTCAAACACAAGGCTCAGGGGCCAAACGCAGCCCACCAAGTCGTTTTGTCTGGCCTGGGGGAGCTCAAAAGGCATTTCATAAAGTCCATGCAGCTGAGTTTCTTAACCTGATAATTTATTTTTTTTAATACACAATATTTGTAACTTGAATAAATAATAATACATTGCAGGGGGAACTGTATGGCTAATTGACCCCTACCTGCTGAAAATGAGTATGACCTCCCTGATCTAGGTCCTCTGATCACTAACCTGTTTCCACCGCCACATTTAACAATATTTGTCCTTAAAAATTAATGTTACTTTAAAAAAAAAAAAAAAAATACAATCAAGCACAGTGCAGAGACACGTGATGTGAGTGTAAGTGAGAATGTGACTTTGTGAAGGAGGAACATTGATGTTGTTCTAAACGTATATACAGCGAGACAAAAACCTTCATCTGGAGGTTTTTGTACCGGTGGTAAACACTGACAGAACCAACCTTGCCACCGATTGCCACAGGCTTGTCAAAGATGCCGTGCATGCCCAAAATGGCAGACTGAGGTGGGTTGATGATGGGCGTCCCGAACAGGGAGCCAAACACGCCGCCGTTGCTGATGGTGAAAGTTCCTCCGTCCATGTCCTCCACTGCCAGCTCATTTTTACGAGCCTACCAGAGACACACACATTTACAGTTACCACTGAAACTAACCACTTTAGTAGAAATGGACAAAGCGAGGGAGAGCAACAAGAACGTGAGAATTGTTTTAATTTATTTTTTTCACCTTTTCGCCCAGTGCATTGATGGCTTTCTCAATGTCTGCAAAATTCATTCCCTCCACGCTTCGGATTACAGGAACCACCAGACCCTGAGAGAGTGAGAAGTCACATGGGTGAATTTTCCAGCCCTTCACATTAGAGGCGAGTGGGCTGCAGAGCACTAACACCGTGTTTAACCACCTAATCCACTTGGCTCACCTTTGGTGTGGCCACAGCCACACTGATGTCCACGTAGTCCCTGTACACAATCTCTTTGGTCGTGTCATCGATGACTGGAACACACAGGTTTGAATGTTTAACCAGTTGACTTTTTTTTTTTTTCAAATCTGAAGCAAACTTTCTGTCTGGTGTAAGGAAGTGAGAACCTCAAACCGACTGCCAGTGTGAGATGTTTTTTTTGTTTTTTTGTTTTTTTTTTTGAAACCCACACAGACCACCTTTGCTACATTGAATAGATCAGTCCTGCTTAAAGGAACTAAAAACAACACAGCATTAGTTTGAGGTTGAGCAGAAGACAAGACCCTCACACGCACCACAAAGCTGCTGTAAAACTATATCCTAAAGTGCTGAGAAAATGTACTGCAGTTAGATGCGTACCAGCGTTGACAGCGGGCTGGTCAGCCAGAGCGTAGGCAGCGGCCTTCACAAACGCAGACATGAAGCCCAGCTTTATGTTGTGTTTCTTCAGGAAGGCATCTTTGTACGACTGCCTCATCTCTGAGATGTTGCTGCAAAGAAGAGAAAAAAAAAATCACAGATGAACAAGGATGAGATATTGAGTATTTGGGTACAACTGACTGAGGAGAAGTGTCAGTACTGTACTTTGGCATTCAGAGATCCTGATTTTTTCTAGACAGACACCTTGAATGCCAGACACTCAAATAAAATGAAAAAATAAATAAATCACATTTTGTCTAACATTATTATGTTGTCATAATTATTCACAGGCCAGTTATTCATTCTCGGGCCAGACTGGACAGTTTGGCGGCCCAGATTTGGCCGGTGGGCCACCGGTAGGTAACCGCAGATCTACAGTAAAGAAAAAAACACTGACGTAAAAGGACCAGGAATATTATTATGTACATGCTCATCACCATTTGCGTTATGGCTCAATATGAAATATTTTAAGCAGGCTAAAAATAAGACTGTGTGTGTTTTAAATGATTAATTATGTATTGGATTAAAAAACCTGACTTTGTAAAAAAAAAAAAAATTCAAATTCATGGTTTTTAGAAAGTTACCTAATAGAAATGTTTATACCGATACTCCCTTGACCGTGACCAGGGTCACACAGCTTGCAGTATTTGTACATACTATCAATTATTTGTCCTTTTTGAATGAAAGCTGCTGAAACTGTCCTGCTAATCGTTTCACTATTGCTCATTTTTCTCCTGTATCTCTCTTTTTAATTGTTTGTTTTCCTGTCTCTAACCCTGTTGAAGCTCTAGGATTTCTCCGCTAACATAATTAGCCGCTCCCAAGACGCAGACTCTCCGAGAAAGGAGAGAAGAAGCGATAAAAATCTTCACTTTCTAGAGCCTGTAAATCTTATTGGGCTGTCATAAAAGCCCATATCGGTTGAGGCTGCTCCTGCACTCAGAGCGCAGGTCTCTGCGGGCCCCTGCAGATGCTCTGGCCTCCTGCCCTGACTAGCTCCTTCGGCTCCAGATGAGCCCTAGCCTGGGAAGTCTTCCTCCAGACCGTCAATGTCAATTCAATTAGGATACACAGAAAACCCTGAATAGCTGAAAGCCGACACCACACATTTGCGGGGAAAAGAAATCCTCAAAGTGTCCTCTTCAGCACAGGGGGCAAGTGCAGACAATAACATTTCCTTGTAAATTAATAAAACACGTTTTAAAAATTCTTATCTTCGTTTTAGATGGCATTACCACCAAATATTTACATTCCAGCATTTAAGAGGATATTGGGTTTCAAAAAGCCTTTCCTGTTGGATTAATTCCACTTCACTACAACTTGTGAAAGTATTGTTTCAGCTTCTGACGTAGACCTGCACGTGTAGCTACCGAATACGCTGCGGCTTCTGACGTAGATGTACTCACTGCACGTGTAGCTACCGAATACGCTGCCCTTCTACTGCATTTGAATACACATATATCTCAGTAGCACAACTGATTTGGTGTCTTACAGTGAAGACCTGTGTTTTGTTTTGTTTTTTTATTTCTTACCTCATGTCGACTTCATTGAATGTAGTCAACATGGCACAGGTGTTTTGGGCTTCCTTCAGTCTCTGGGCAATTCTTAGTCTCATGCGGTTCATCTTAACCTAAAACGTTAGAATGAGAACAGATTATATTAAATATTTTACTTAATTTATTTTTCCCATAATGGTTAGTCTTTTTTTTAAACGATGTTTTTTACCCTGCTCTCTGTCCTGGCACCTTTAGCTGCCCCCTCAGCCTGACCCACTGGTGCAGCAGGAGCGGCCGTGGGCTTGATGGCTGAAACTGTTAAAAAGAAAAAAAAACACATATGAAGAAGCAGTTAGCATTACTTGACACCAGCTAATCTAAACTGGTGGAGGTCACCGTTCACACGAACCTAAACAACGATTATCAGCTCAGGGTCCAAGGCACAGATGTCAAACATAAACAGATCTCACATGACACAGCCACAGTCTGTCTGATGAACAACTAACCAGGTTTGGTGTCCATAGCATGTGCTGGCACAGGTGGCACAGGGGGCATAGTGGTGGGAATGGGGCCCACTGCTGCAGCGGCAGGAGGTGGAGACGGAGCGGCAGAAGGTGGAGGTGGTGGAGGGGCTGCAGCGGCCGGGGCCTCAGCTTTTGGAGCACCAGCTGAGGACAAAGAAGTTGTTGTTGTTTTAAGGTATGTCTGTAACTGGCCTGAGACCATAACACATTTGTTTGGATGATATATTGTGCCACAGCATTGTCAACTTTTGTTTTGAGACTGAATTAACCACTGATGTCATGATAATAAATCAAAATATTGGAAATACACCCTTTCACATGCAATAAATTACCCATGTGTATTTTATACGATATTCAAATTTCCGATGGTACCTGAAACCCCCTCATTACAAGTTGGCATGCAATTAAATATAAATAAATAAATAAATAAATATATATATATAGCTTTTGCGTTGTTCTGTTTCTACTTTCGTTGTCGACCAAACACCTCCATCAGTGTTGGCGTTCTGGATAAAGGTTCTGCATTTTAAGGTGCAGTATTTTTTCCCCAGCTGGGAAACTGGTTGAGGTGGTTATGTTTTAGTGGGTGTGCAAGTTTGTTGCCCCCACCCCCCAAAAAGTGGGTGACTGACAAGAAGGTTCACTCTGCTCATTCTGCTATGGAACCAACAGATCCCTCTTGAGTGAACCCTCTTGTCATCCAGTCTGTTTGGAGGAAACAGACGAGGAAAACAACCACGCACGGAAATATATCAAAGACCGCAAAATAATCAACTTAATATTCAGTTATCCTGTGATTGATGGACTGACTGATTATAATCCCAGGCCTGGTCTGTAATGTAACTTAGACTTTAAAGTATAATTAAATTTTCAGTGGAAGTCAAGTGTAACTGACCTCCTTTTCTCAGCTTGAACAGAGGAGTTCCTCCTTCCACTTTGCCTCCATCAGGGATCAAAAGCTCCTCAATCACCCCAGCAGCGGGAGAGGGAACCTGGACTGAGGTCTAACCACAGCAACCACAATAGAGTGGAAGTAGTCAGTACAAATCAGTTAGTGCATTTTCATAAAGTTTCACAAAAAAGAAAAACAATCATAAATTCAAATCACAGTCAACAGTCAGAATCACAGGTGTTTCACTGCCAAATAAGTCTTTTAAACAGCCCACCAATTAATTATAATGCTATTAAATAATCCCGTTTGACATTTGTTATTTTGTACATAACATCACCAGCCCCCTGTACATAACAACTGACATAAAACAATTATTTTTATTCCCTTAAAACTAACTAAACCAATAAGACAGGGGTTGGCTCTGAGCTCATCCATTTCTCACAACAACATCCAGTGATGTGTGTAACTAAGTACACACCATTTTCAAAACATCTCTTTCTGAAAGACTCCAGTCTTGACTTCAGACTTCAATCACTGAACAGATAGTGGTTTGACATTTTAGCACAGCAGAAAAAAAAAAAAAAACTATTAAAGCGTGAAAGAAAACCAACTGGTTGATCAGGGCAGACAAAGACGGTTTATGACATTTTTAATGCCAACGCCATGAGGGAAAAAAAAACAAACAAAACAAAACCATCCATCAGTCACACACTGTGGAAGCTTTTATGCTAAAAAAATACAATGTATTTGCCCTTAACTCAAAATTCAATATTTTATATATATGTGGAAGCATATCATCATTTTTACCTTGTCTGTCTCGATCTCACACACCAACTCATCCTCTGAGACCGTGTCTCCAACAGCTGTGGGAGCAGAAAGCTGTCTTAGAATCACAGCAATCAGTTGTTGAACATAAACTGGTTTGCTGTCATGGTTGAGCCGCGTTACCTTTCTCCCACCTCACGTCCCCTTCTGTGACAGACTCTGCAAACGCAGGCGCCTTGACTGTGACGACTTCATCTCCTGGTGAGCAAAGACAAGGTACAAAAAATAAAACACTCTCTCATACTTATATTTTACAATTTATGTATCCAAGTCTTAACAAGTTAAAACTTACTGTAGGCAACAGATGTCCTGAAGTACTGGATTTGGAAGATGCTGGAACGGGGTTCAGATTTTCTGCACAGGTAAAAAATAATACGGACAAAATAAATAATAAATATACCATATTTGGTTTGTATAGAAGGTATAATGTATGTATGTACAAAACAATTTTAGGCGGATCTTTAAATTGCTGCTAAGACTGTAATATTGCACAACTTCCCTTCATACTTGTTTGAATGTCAAAATGAAACCTGTAAGACTTTCTTGAACGTAACTCTAGCGAGTTATTTTGGTTAAAAGACCCAAAGAGAAACAAGCGCAGCACTGAAATGCAGTTCAAGTTTCAACCCGGCTCAAACTTTTGTCAGCTGTTCGTTAGCTCTGGTACTAGTTGACAGTGGCATTTACTCGTCCTAGTAACACACACATGACGACTACTGGTTTTACCTAAAAAAATATGTTGATCTCTACACTAAACTATTGACAGTGGTTAATATAACAAATCATTAAGTTAAGCACAATACTGCAGTCAAATTGTTATTTTTGATAGTCATACCACCATCTGACGACCAAAAGCGATCAAATTCTTATTTTTGATCATACCACCATCTGACGACCAAAAGCGAGTATAGAGGTGGATAAAAATTCAGAGTCGCTGGCAAAAAGTTATTTCTGATAAAGCTCTAGTTATTTGCATACTTACACAGTGATGGAGGGGCTGGCAGACAGCGCTATTGATGGGAAAACAGAAGAATACATTTAGGTTTATTTCTGTAAAGTGATTTTACCAAAGCCAACACATCAATGTAACTGCTGTACCTGCTGTGGCCCGACGAGCTAACACATTATTGCCCTGTGAAAAAGACACAGATTGGTATTTTGAATATGCAAAGACATTCCATGACCATTGCAGAATGTCAGCTACAGTATTAATGAGGAACTACTAGTTCTGGAAAAACTAACAGCCGACTGTTGGAGACACATTTGTAACTGTCTTCAATCGACAAAAGATCAGATCAGTCAGTCAAGTCGATCAAAGGTCAGATTCAAACGTTAGACCCTGACCTTTGACATATTCGATAACACTGTTTATCAAATATTTGACACGGCAATCATAGTAGCTGATATAATAATAATAATAAACATTAATCTGCTACTGAACACCTATGTAAATAATGATGCAGTAGCAGGAATCACGTTTAATAATATAATAGTGACAGACATGTTAACTCTTTCATTTGGAAAACTTTTCATTACTACTATATTACTATAGCCATTTATTTTACACGACTAGCTTTATATCCTATGTACATTAATGTAAATAATTCATATAAACAATCAAGAATATTACGGTGTATTTTATCTTAAATACCACGGCGTGACCTCGGTATGACAGCACCACACACCTAGCTTAGCATGGCTAGCATGTTCTGAGTGATAACCTAAACATTGATTAACTTTACAACTTAGTCGGACAAGTGACATTTCAGCCTTGAACACAGCTTATGTATACGTGTTTGGAAAAAGACACAATGTCTTCACTTGTAGTTTTTAAACGTGAATATTAGCTGCTGCAAAGTGTCAAACCCGAGTGTCCCACTGTCCTTGGCTTCTGGGTGTTACGGCCTGACCGCGGCCTACCAATGCTAATGCTAACCCTGACAGCGCCGTTGCTGCTTCGCTCCCTGTTACAGACAAACACAGAGGAGTTTCGCCGCAGCAGGTCTGATCCCTACCTGGCGAAGGGCAGAGAGGGAGCGGCTGAAATTCCTGGTGAAACACCGGGAATGGGACAACATGATGGCTGTGTGACAGCAGCCAGTCCGCGGAAGCGAAACTCCGGTCAAGACAGACAGGATAGAGCAGCAGCCAGGACGCGGCGTGGAACAAACCAAGTCGTCCTCAGTGGAGGGGGGAGAAGAGGCGGAGGGGAATCGTTAATATGGTTTCTTCCTCTGAATGACAGAAAAAAATAAAAATTACAGCACGTGTAAAGTTTAGGGGGGCCTACCTCACTGATTAATTTCTGTTAAATGCTACACAGAATAGAATAGAATTCCAAAGGTTGCTTTTAACTGGCCAAAAAAATGAGTTGAAACAGTGGTACAGGTCGGAGAAGAGAAGCTAAATGGCCAGTTAATAGAATAGAACAGAACAGAATAGAATTCAGTTAATAGAACAGAATAGAATAGAATAGAATAGGAAGTTACAACACATATACACAAGGATATTGTATATCATAACTTAATATTACAAATGATTTGCAATATAACTGATTTAACTTACAGTCAAGGTATTTAGTCAATAATATTTTCAAATATAAATGCACATACATGTGTACATACAGTATATTACATTACATTGCATTACAATACATTTAGCAGATATTTATATATATATTATATTTATATTTAAATACATATAAATATGTTTTTAAATATATTTATATTTATTTAGTATATAGTATCTGTGTGGACTATCTAGGGCATTGCTTCCCAAAGACTGGGTTGCGATCCTCAGGTGGGTCGCAAGAGTTGTTTTTTGTTTTGTTTTTTTGGTCGTCTTACATCATGATTTCCAGGAGTTTACGAATAATGTCTATTGACTTGGGTCGCAAAGGTTTGTGACTTTTAAAATATGGGTCCCCAGAGAAAAAGTTTAGGAAACACTGGGCTAGTGTAACAATTTTTTTTAAAAAGAGCTTATAATTATGACTTTTTTTGTAATATCCCATTTTTGTACGGTTGTATGTACAAGAAGATAGGATGAGTTTCTAAAATAAATTTCTAAAACAATTTAAAACGCTGAGGTAACTCTATAAACCCTGTTATTATATTTAAAATTAATTATTGGTGCTATTTTTGTTTAACTTTTTATTTTATTTTTTTATATTTGTCAATTCATTATTTTGACCCCATAATAACGGGGCTACGTTTATGTATAGATATATCAATATAGCATTCTTACACTCTCTCTCTCTCTCTCCCCCTCCCCCCCCTCCCCCCCTCTCTCACTCACCACACTTTCCTCCTGACATTTTTGCGGCTGCTGATGAGACCATTACCATGTTGTGCTTTTCTCACAAGGCCACGCCCCAGAAGCTGTAACACATCAGTGTGTTCTGCACCCGGACTCCCGAACTGTGTCAGTGCGCAGGCCAACCGTCATCCACCCGCTCGTCCAGCTCACACCCTCGTACATCCGTCAGCTCCACAGAGCAACAGGTAAGTCTCCTCCACCCGCCGTGTGTCCCCCCTCTCTGGGCGGCTGCAGCCTGGACGGGACTCAGCCCTGCTGTCAGTCACACCGTGTTACTGCGGGTTCTCTTCACTCATTTATCAACTTTATAGCTTCACGCGTAACTTGCGTCTCTTTTTTTTTACTTTTATGTACTATTTATCAGGTTATAACCGCAGGCTGAAAGTGTTAGCGGGTCGTTGGTGAAGGACTCACTATTCAATTCCACGCTATTGTAATGTTTTCTTAATTTGTTGTGACTATAGAAAGAAAAATTCGGTTGGACAAAAAAATAGTTCCCTCGCCGCCGTTTGGACTAATTATTACGTTATTAACTTTTGTCTTCTTTTAATGAACAACACAACGTTAAGTGACTCAATAATTAATGACGCAAATACAAATAAACATCGTTATTTCCGGTCCAAAACTCATAAAACTATTTTCACAGGAAGTTTGTTCTTTGTGACACTGTATATGTAAAATAAGGGAGTTGAGAAGGAAGAACAAACAGGTAAATGTGTAGGACCGAATCTTAATGAAAAAAAAAAAAAAATAAAAGCTTAAAATATGTGCCCAGATGTTTGCGTTAATATAATGTCATTAAATATATATTGTAGAGCATTTTAAAATATTTTTGTTGTGTCGTTTTATGCTGTAAATATATTATATTTGCAGAGGGAATGATAATGTGTGAAGCCGTTTCTGGTGAATGGATTTAAATCAGCTGAAATGTCGGACTTACTTTCTTATTGATAATATTCTTTTTCATCTGAACGCCCAGATGAACGGCAGCGTACTCTTCGTTTTTGCCTCAGATCAGTGACTTATTTTTTTAAACAGACGAGAAAAGTGTAGATAATAATTCAGCACCTTTAATTTACAGCAGTGTGTTACAATATGATATAATGCAATTTGTTTTTATGCAGTCATTTTTATAAGTAAATTAATGTCGATTTTAAGTTTTTGGTAGAGTAGCATTTGATTTTTTCAAATAGTGATTTTTTTATAACAAGTTTTTTTTTTCTAAGTACATTATTCTAATCCAAAACTTCAGACAATGCTTATATTTCCTATATATGTACAATTATATGTACACTTATGGGCAGAAATGTACAATGCAAAGTTACCTCTAAAATGTTTTTTATGTTATTTTCTGTTTGTTATTTTTGAACTGTGTCCACTCGCTGGTCTTCACAGACGCTCCTCCGTGTCCAAGTGAAACTGCAGTGAGCATGAACCTCAGCCTCCCCGACCAGAACATGCACACCTCTGCCGAAGGCTGCAACGACGACGACAAGCCCGACCCCATGTTACCTTGCTTCCGCAGAAACGTGTACGACGAGCCCCTGTCCTCGTACTCCAACAGCTCCATTATCTCTCAGCTCCTTCGTAAGACGATCCAAAACAAGAGAGCCTTGGACGAAAGTCCGTTCTACCTTTCGGGCTCCGCTGCCGCCGACTCCGGTCAGGAGGACCGGAGCAGCGTCTCCTCCAAGGACAGCACCGTGGAGGCCACGTCCCCCGGAGCTCACGTGTCCACGGGAATCAACCCCGACGGTGAACATTCCGTGACTGACCACCTGCAGGCCAAGAGAGCCAGAGTGGAGAACATTATCAGGGTCATGGCTAATTCTCCAAACAGCAGGCAGCACGGAGAAGCTGAGAGGTCTGACGCTGAAGTGACCAGAGAGACCAGGGAGGTGTACAGGGAAAACAAGCGCAAACAGAGGCTGCCCCAGCACCAGGAGCACAGCGTCGGAGGACCAGTGATCAGAAGAGTCGGCGGCAGTCACAATGATGGCTGTAACAGCAAAGATGAGGAGTGTCACAAGTTGAAGGAGCAGCTCCACAGCATGCAGAGGCTGCTGCACCAGCTGCAGGAGAAGTTCCTTCAAGTTTACCATCGAGATGATGTCGAACGTGACGACAGAGATGAGATGGAAATCCACGGTGAGCGCGACAGCCTTTCAGAAACCGCTGGGTCGCGATTCGTAAGTGTGGGGAACGAACAAGCAAAGGACAAGGACCAAAGGAAGGAAGCGGTCCATCTTGTGAACCAAAGAGAAAACCAGAACCTTCAGGAGATGCTGAAGCAGGAGCTCTCCAGGGCGGTGAATGAGTGTGTGGACAGGGTGTTCCAGAAGGTTTCTTCCACGGGCGTGGACATGTCCCCGCAAGCACGCATGTGCTCATCTCCTGAGATGCAAATGAGTTCTGGTGCAGACAGGAAGATCCAGCAGGTCGGCATCACACCAGAACCGCCTGAGTCTGAGGAGTCCACTGTCAAACCCTGCTCTCTGGAGTACTACGAAAACTCTGCATCCCAAAGTCCTCAGGACCAGACCGAGGCGCTGTCACTCGTGGTCCGCAAGCCCCCGGTGACCCCCATAAGCACAATCACCTCCAGCGTGAAACGGCCCTATCCAATCCATCAGACTCCATTCCAGTTCAACTACAGCGCCCCTCTGCACGACAGTCACATCCTGGAGCATCTTCTCAAGTACGGCCCTCACGCCAGCTTCGGGGCTCTGTCCTGTCTGCCCCCGGCTATGGACAGTACCTCCTCAGACTCAGTGGACCTGCCCTGGGACACCATCGCCATGAGGACCAAGGTGACGCCGGGCCACCTGGGCCACCACTCCCGCAGTTCAGCACTGGGGGCAGTGTCCGTGGACAACCTGTGTCTGCCCCATGTCAAGATTGAATGTGGGGAGCTGCAGAGCATGGCTGAACGGAACCCCTACATGTCCCTCAATATATCCTTTTCCTCTGTGGTCCACTTTGTATTTAGACTGGACCATATGGGCCAGTGGTTGGAAAGTTAAAAGAAATGTAGAAATCAATATATATTTGTACTAGATCATTTGGCAAAAATACACATGTTCAACCACTGACTGTAGAACAGGTGCTGCATATGACCTAATGAGATGTCAAGTGGGCCGGACCAGTGCAATCATCACATAATTACCTATAAATAATAACCTATAGTCTCTTTTCCCCTTCGTTTTTATGCAAATAGGTGCATTACAGCAGTGTTTCCCAAACTTTTTTTTCTGGGGACCCATATTTTAAAAGTCACAAACCTTCGTGACCCAAGTCAATAAACATTATTTGTAAACTTTTGGGAAACAAGACCCAAAATTTCCCCTCTTGTGACCAACCTGAGGGTTGCGACCCAGTCTTTGGGAGACAATGCCTTAGATCAATCCTCAAACTGATGAAGTATAATTTTACAAAACATTTCCTGAACATGAAGTGTTTGTGTATTATTTTATTTTCAAAATTCATCAAGTGTGCCAGATTGAAACCCCAAGCGGGCCGCTTTTGGCCCACGGGCCGTATGTTTGACACCCCTGGTACAGAAAAAAGTCCCAAAATAACCCAGTTTGTATTTAAGGCAACTTCTGATTTAAATTATAATAAGATCATGTTTTGTACAGATGTC